CCGATCAATAGATTAGAATCCCTGAAAAGAGAGCGGTGTGCATGCGGTATTCACTTGATAGGACTCTACAACACGCTCATTTAAATAGAAATGGTTTGGTTTAGGAGTGAAATTCCACTTCCTTGGTATTAAGGCAGCAACGCTCTCTGTGTGCACTCTGTGTACTTTGTTCTTAGCTCAGCAAAATGTGAGGGCAGGTCCAAAGAATCTGGGGGATCAGACAGGCCTGACATTCACCAGACTGCACTGTTGCCTTTTAAGCTTAGAAAAAAAAAGAGAATAAAAAAAAAAGTGCCCAGAATAAGAGCCGGCTGGATTGAAGTTGGGTTTAATTGGTGGGTTTTGAATCTGTTTGCGTGTCAGAAAGTGCTGTTGTTTACAGTCTGTGTGGGTGTTACAATGCCAGGATCCTGCCAATCACATCAAAAACACAATGCTTGTTTTTTCACTTTTTCAAATGCTGACAATTTTTTACGAGACTTAGCTATGTTTTTCATTTAATCAGTCCTTCTTAATAAAATCCCAGAAGAAACGAGGGAGAGAATACTGTGCAGTCAGCCCTTTTAACAGATCAGATCATACAGTAAGCAGCTGCGTTTGTTGAAAAGTGAGTCATGCTTTAGATTTTCCTGTGTTTCACAGCACAGACAGTGACTTGGAAAATCTCCTGAACACACCCTAAAAACAAACACCAGTGACCCTGTATATACATATCACTGACTCGCAACTAAAACTCTCCTCCGCCCTCGTCCAGAGCTTGACTGATAGTGTATTTTTAAAGGCAGAGAAAGTAACACTTCCAGCTGATAGCCAATTAAAAATTACACTTGACACCACGTCAGACATAAACATGTTACTGGAGGTGCTTTCTTAAAATCTTTTGGATAAAGTTTCCATCATCATTAACAGTTGCAAACAGATACGTAGATTATCAGACATGACCATTGTCTCTTGTGATCAGGTCTCACTTTTTTGCTCGATATGCAAATTATCAAGAGGATTTGATCCCGTCTGACTGTACAGATGTGACGATTATGTTTTTGTGTGTATTTGCATTCACAGAGTAAAAATAATATGGAATCTGTCCTTGGCACTTGTGATCGGATCAATCAGGATAGAAGTTAACATCAGGTCTAAACAGGTCATAGTCATGCGAGGCTTGCATTCATGATGCGCCAAATTCTTTTGACCATTGCTAACAAAACAGAGACAGCATGATCTTGGTTGAATAGCAGTCATCTTCAGTCTACTGCATTCAGAATTATATACTATATAACACTCAATAACAAACATTGATCTCATGACATTGGCTTGATTGTGTGAATGGAGCCAAGCGGTGATGTACATCACAGAGTGACTGTTGGAGCCAGTGCAACCATCAGTGGCAGTAGGGCGGCGGTGGTCCATGAGGTAGAGCAGGTTGTCCACCAATCACGTTGAACCCCAGTTTCTCCAGTTAACACACCGAAGTGTTTTTTAGCATGATACTGAACCCCCAGATTGCCCCTGGTGACTATGGTGTGTGATAGAAAAAGAAGTGCATAGAAGCGCTAAATGAAAGTGTGTGTGAATGGGTGAATAGGACTTGTACTCAGAGCTCTATATAAATACAGTCAGTTTCTCATTGGCTGAATCCCTCTGATTCTGTTCAGAAAATGTCTTATCTGTGCCGATTAATTGGTCAGACTTATTAAGTGGTTGGCCGCTATCTTCTTCTTATTTACACATTGCTGTTAATACAGATCCATCATTCTCAAGGAGTGTTGAACCGGCATCACAACTATCTTTTTTTTGTTTTATTCAAACACACTGTTGAGCCCTGGCATGATAAATAGATGCTGTAGATTTATTCAGATGCTGATACTAAGTGATCGAAACATCCCGGATGGGCTGTAAAGAACCGAGAGACAACTCTGGCAGCCTCTTATTGACAACCATTAAGTTGAGCATTAATTAATATGGTAATGATGTGTGAAGGTTCATTAACGGGCAGCCACAGAAGTAGCCACAGATACAGTATTAAGCGTGCTTTGAGTAATTAATGGAATAACTTTACTTAGTGGTAAATATTCATGGGCTCTCATCTTTTTGTCTGCACAGTGTGAGGAGAGAGGAGAGCCGTCCATTAGAGGAGCTGAAGAGCTGTCCACACTGAATACAGGCCTTTTGTTGGGATTGGGTGCATTTCAGTGGAGGGGTATTAATTCATATTTTGAACATGCTATCTTACAACAAAGCCAAAGGCACCGATAACATACCTGGGACTAGAGAGCATATTGTGAAGCTGTGACCCCCTCACAAACAGGGAAGTCCACTTCACAGGTTTGTGGACGGAATAAAATGAGTCTTTGTTCGTGATCATACTGTATGTAACATAGCAGTTCATTATCATACAAAAAACCCCCCTGATTGTCCATTTCCTCTGAAAATAGAGTGTTTGCATGCCCCCCCACCACACACACACACCACTGCCACCACTACTACAGTGAACCCTGTGGTATTTGCATAGAGGATGGAAACATTTATGTGTATCATCTGCTGCTCTAACTAACCGTTATGTTATCTATTGCACAAGTCTTGCTACTAAAATATTTTACTGTCAAAAGTTGTTGTGTTTAACATCTACCCACTAATTCCACAGATGTCTCTCTGTTATGCAAACAGACAGACATCTGTGGACGACATATCTGGTGAACCGTATTTTGTAAGCTTCACACTTGCCATGTGTATTCATATTGGTCCAGAGAAGTGCAGTTTCGAATTTGGTGTGGTTGAGACACACGATACCAAAACTAATATAATTAGAATAAACAGGTGATAAGTGCTCTGTAGCCGTCAGTGGGGGCGGGGCAGTGTCCCTTCAGTCTGCGAACCAAGTGGAACATGTCTTCTTCTACGTCTTTGCCATACAACAAATGGGTCAAACCTCGGGCCTAAAGCACCAGGTCGGAAGATAGTGTCAGTTGCTTAACAGACCTCTGAAATCGCAGATGAAAAAATTAAAAGCAGTGCAGTAAATATCTGTAATAAAGCAAATTCAGTTTCATTTTATGAAAAAACATTGACTATAAAATCCTTATTACAGATGAATCAGGTAGGATGAACACAAAGTCTTCTAACTTCACTCTGCACCATAGACTGTTAAAATACTCACAACATCCATCAGACAAACTATAAAAAGTGACAGTATATTGCATAGTATATTTCACTGTATGAGGAAGACTCACTAATGACACGGAATAATTCTGAGGTAGCTCTGGAATACTAACACAGACCAGGCACGTTTAGAATAGGCACTACATTAGTTGTGTAAAATAGGACAATACACCAACATAATCATCTCAAGGCGTCACAAGAAAACCTTGCAAAATGCTCTGTCGTTTTCCTTTGTCTTCTGAAATTGTTGCATTTTGATTCGTATTCTCAGCTCAGGCCTCTGACTGAGCACGCACATAACCCACCTAGGTGGGTAATTATCTCAACCAGGATATGTTCTGTTCCCTAAAATCTCAATGTGGGAGTGTGTGATGGGCTCGGTTTTCCCAACCGGGTGAAGCAGCGTGCGCTTGTTTGTCCTCACCCTACGTTCTCAGCACCCCCACTGTTCTAAATGGCAATATTACAGCCTTGTGCTGTTTGAAATGGAGACAATTATCTGTTTAGGTATTACAAGGTGGGCATTATATCACCAGGAGAAAAGGCGTACAGCTGTTATCAGGATCCCGTTGTTGCCTTTTCTCTCCGATACAAATTTTCCGTCATTAAAATGATGGAACATTTATCTAAATGGATGTTATGCATTGGGTAAACTCATTTAGCTCCCGGGGCTCTTTCAGGTGATGTGAATTAATGATGTTTAGTAGTTTGAAACTGAAAATATCTGTCATTTGTCACCACTCGCCATTGATTTACGATTCCATTGATGATATGTTAATTGAAGTGTAATGAATCACAATAATAGGGTGGTTGTGTGGGAATGGTCCATTTTTGATGATTTTTCAACCCTCTGTAGAGTTCAGAGCGAGCTGCGTGTTGACTCCCGTTTTCAACAAGGGCATTTAACACATAATTAATGCTGAAACTGGGCAAGTTGGGCCAGTGTGTTTTATCTGTGCTCGTCTGCTTTAGATAAACACTCGCACAAATGCCTGGCCACAGTTTTGACTGCCAAATGTAAACGGCAAAAAAGAACAGCGGGAGAGGGAGTTGGAGCATTTTTTTTTCCTCCTCCCCTTCATATTTGGATATGCTTTAATGCTTTTATTCAAATGCACCTGAGATATTGCCCCCAGTCACTTCTCAGTTTACCATAAAAATAAGATTTTGTTTCCTTTTCTCTCCCTTTTTTCATCTTCCCTTGTCTGGGTTGAGTGCTCAGTTAGGAAAGCTGTGTGCATGCAGATCAGGGTGTCCACCCGGGGGGACTTGAGTCAGGGCAGTGCAGGTACAGGTTCTGTATTTTCACCACCAGGGGGGCCAAGTAGGGCATCTGCTGTCGGTAATATGAAAACGGTTTTGTCTTGCAAATAAACCACTCACTCACATCAGACAGCACCATTGTTCACTTGTTATCATGAGTGGGTGTAGTTGTACTTAACAGACAGATGGAAATGCAAGGATGTGTGCCACAGTAGGTTGACAATAGTAGGCTGCAGGAGGATAAACGAAAGGTGGCTTGTGCCCCGCTCTGAGCTGAAAATGGTGGATGCATGTCCGTAGCGGACAAGGAAAGTACAGTGACCGGTGCAGCTTTATATGCACAACAGCACAGGAACGTAGAGGATTGATTTCTCCCTGAAGATTTCTCAGAACACGTATGAGGCTGTTTGTGCATGTTATCAATTCTAATCAATAGCAACTGGTGCTCTACTTGTTATTGGAAGCATTTAGTTGTTTTTTGCTTTTTGTAAATTGGCTTGTGGGTGCTGATGACAAGAACTCTATGGTCTGTGTTAGTAATTATTTCATAACCGTTAATATTCTCCATCTTGTGTCCGCAGGGCGAGGGGGCTGTTTCACCACTGCTGGAACTGAACATTGCTTTAAATAAGCAAGTCCTTGTAGAAGGTAAACACACAATCATTCACCAGAGTGTGTGTGTGTGTGTGTGTGTGTGTGTG